TGAAGGTAGTGATAAAAAACTTCATTATGATGATTTTAAGGAACACTATAATGCTAATTCAGGCAGTAAATTATAACCTTCACATCAACAAGGTAATATTATAGTCAATTAAACAATTATATTTCCATTAATTGCAATAATAAATTCTGCAATATGTATCAAAAACCACTGTCCATTCATTCACCAATATACACCAAGAAGAAAAATTTTATCAAACCATGAATCAACCAAAAAATTTAACTCTAAAACACTATACACAACGTATGTTTTACCTTGATTGCGGCTACACCAGTTTTCTGATGTCTTTCTATAAATAATTTTTTTCTATTACTAAAAAACTTTTCAAAATTTGGAAACTTACTGCTGTCTGCCATCTTAACCACAAAATGGAGGGATGGAGATGTATGATTTCAGAGGTCACAACTCAATCAACAACAGTAAACGATGCTAATCTCAAATTTATTATATAAGAATGTGAATGGACTGTTAAAGAAACAGAGGCCATCAACAAATGTGGGCCAGCTAGAAAATTTGGTGACACAAAATAAATTTCTTAAGTGTAAAAATATTCCATGCATTCAAAATACATAATTATATTAAAGATTGATAGCTCGGCATTCACCGCAATTTTGCCACGCAATTCCGATGAATATTTTCTAATGGGCTGGTAAAGAGAGAATCTCAAACGAATGGCATTGTATCAAATGAAACATGATGAGATGATGAATGCAGAGAATTTGTTATACCATAATGCTTCAACGACGCTGTGCAGAATCACAGTTTCTCGCCAAGTGAGTGCAAATCTGCATTCTGAACTGTAAAGGAAACAGAAGCTACCAAAAAGTGCAGGGGGGGGGGGGGGAGGGGGGCAGTATGGAATTTATTCGTAAGTGCCAAAAGAAATTCAATGCACAAAACTTTCAGGGGGCCTAAAAAGTCTGGAGATGTAACAGATCAAGAAGAAACATAGGCCATCATCAAGTGCGAACTGCGGTACAGATAGAAAATCTTGTGACCCAAAACGCAATGGTGTTGGGTATAAAAATATTGCGTTTATCTACAAGGGACATTCAATAAGTTATCTACCACGATTTCGTACAGCTTTTTTGGACTGCTGAACATGCACAGGCAAGTTGGGACATGTCTTGGAGTTGTTCGGCCTCAGTCACATGTCTGTTTGCCAAAAGCTCTTGATGTGGGAAGATGGCAGGAGGATGATCAACAGAGAAAACGAGTAATTACAATCATGTGAAAATGAGAAATTTTGAACACACTGTTGTTTTGTACAACTTAATCATCCTCCATATAGTCCAGATCTAGCTTCCAGTTACTACATTCTGTTTTGAAACATGAAAAAATTATACACGGGCAACGATTTCCTGATGATGAAGCAGTTAAGGAAGCTGTACTGGGATATCTAGAGTTTCCTTCTTTTCTCAGGGTATTCGATCACTGGAGGTAAAATGACCAAGTGTGTTGACGTCAATGGGGATTGCATTGAAAAGTGATGATGAGAGTTTCAATATCAATTTCATATTTATGCTCAGGTACATAACTTAGTGTACGCCCTCCATACAAAACGCCATTATATTTAGATCACAATCATCCACCACGAATTTGCCAGGCAATAAACACAAATATTTTCAAATTGGCCCCTAAAGAGAGAATCCCTGCGAATGGCATTGTATCAAACGAAACATGATGTGGAAATGAATGCAGAGATTTTGTTACATGAAGCATCAATGGGACCGCAAGGAGTCTTTGTTCAACAAAATTTCCTGAGAGCCCAACGAATGCAAATCTGAGTTTTGAAGTGTTAAAGAAACAAGACACCATCAGCAAGTGCAGGACAGATAGAAAATCTGGTGACACCACAAACACAATACTTTGAGGGGGGGGGGCCTAAAAAGGCAGGAGATGTTGCATCATGGAAGGAGGGCAAAAAAGAAAGAAATATCAATACATGTAACAATGTTAAGGTAGTAACAAAAACCATGACTACGATGATTTTAAGGAGCAAGAAAATGATAGTTCAGCAATAAGTCTTAACACTCTCATCAAGAAAACAATTTTTATATAACAGTAAATTTGCTGACATACAGCAAACGCTGAGCATGGTACAAATATGAAAGGGCGCATCATAAAGAATAGAGACTAATCTCCACCAGGCTGACGCCAAACATGTGAACAAAATGAAAAGAGTGAAATGTAAGTTGTGCAGAGCGGAGTTAAAAGATATTATTCGTATATTCAGAAAGACTGCTTGTAAACCGGTTTCACCTAGAACCATCCTAAGTAAAGAACTCTCAATATCTGCCCTCACCCTGGAAATTACAGAAATTTTTCCAGTCTCTCTTAAAGAGGTATACACAGTAGAACCATCAGGTCATTTACCAAACAGTTGAATTAGTTATACAGAAGCTATTGACGATATCAAATTCACAAAAATTGAAACAGCTCAAACTCTTCTTTGACTTAATATTAGTCTATTGGCTGGTTCTGAAAGAATCACCCCAATTCTTAATAAAAAACGTCAAACAGTCAATAGATACAATGAAACTACCATCTGTGTGGAAAATGGCTGAGGTTACACCTATCTTCAAAAAAGGCGATTAACAAATGGTAGAGAATTACAGACTGATAAGCACCTTTGGAAAAGTAATGCAATGAATAATAGTTCAGAGACTCCGAAACCATGCAAGAAGGAATAATCTGACCCCCCTGCAAAAACACAGATTTGTCTCTGGAAGATCAACTATCACTAATTTGATTAGCTCACTCATACATTTGATTAGCATGCTCATACAGGGCTGAAGCATGATGTGCATGGATGAGCTGAAGATAAATCATGGACGTGATCTACATGGACTATATCAAAGCATTCAGCAAAGTTTCCCACAAGCTACTCAATTCACAAATTACAATTGATGAGGGTCGGAGGCAAACTACTAGCATGCATCCACGAATTCCTCTCAAACAGAACATTGCTAATGTGCATTGGAGAAAAGCTTACTACATCTTGAACTGTTAATAGGGGAGTACCTCAAGAATCTGCCCAATGACACAAAACTATTTGCAAACCCATTGAGAGACCATTGTACCTTACACAATCATATGACAACAATGGACAACTGATTGAGAACATGGCTACTCCCACTGAACATCGAGAAATCCAAAAACCTTCACAGCAAGAAAAAACACCAACTACCCTACGCCACGGCAAATCAAACTCTGAAGTGACAATGGACAAAGCGACTTGGGTATGTTAATTACTCAAGATCCAAATTGGGGAACTCATGTCACTGCCACTGCGGTGACTAAGGAGCAAACTGTGTGCTGTATATGATGGGAATTCTGACACTGGAACAGAGGAGAAACAGAAATGACATTATAGAGACATAAAATTCTGAATGGCCTCTAAAACATTCCATGGCATGATGTCTTCTTCACAAGACCTACAGACACTAGACTGAGAGCCTTGATGAAACTGGGGAAGGAGAAAATGAAAACTGGACAGAGATTGCATTTCGTCAACGCTAGGAAGAGAGAAAAAATTACATTTTTGAAAAAACAAAAGAATAAAGCGAACTTATGTTTATGTCATCTTACAGAGTACATTTAGCACTATCCCTACCAAAAGTTCAAAGAAAAAACAGGAGCTATTTTAAGAATATAGTGTTTTTCATATTTTTTTTAAATTGCAAATATTGCGTGAAAACTGCAAAAATTTTCAAAAAAATGAATGTGATCTTAATAAAAGAACTAATTATGGACAACAAATTTCATTTGAAGGAAAAATCTATATCTTTAATTTTGTAGTTGTAGGAAGACACTGAAAAAACTTTTGAAATTTTCAAAAATTTTCATATACTTTTATAAGTCAAACTTTTATCAGTGTATGTTACTCTACTCCTTCAAGAAATTTAAAGAAAAAGTTTGGAGGCATTTTTGAGAAAATTTTGAAAATGTTTAAGAGTGATTTCATTGATCCTGTAAAGTACCCCCAAATTTTAAAGAACGTTTTCAAAATCTCAGTTTCAACTCGAGCCAGATGGACAGGCGTTTCTTCAATTTGGAAAAAATCCTACGCATGGTTAAGGTGCTAGTAGTATTCACAGATGGACATTTTGAGAATAACTAAATTTTGAGATTTTACTGTAGTATGAATAAGATAAAAATTTAAAAAATTCTCAGGTCTCTTCAAAATTGTGTGTGAGTGTGTGTGTGTGTGAGAGATTGTGAGTGTGCATGTGCATGTGTGGAGATGTGTGTGTTGTATATATTCGTCAACTTATATTCAGGTATATACAGAACTTGCGATTCAACCTATTCAAGGGTTGAGTATGTGGGGGAAGGGGAAGGGGGAGCGGGAGGGGGTGGCAGCACTCAAGAAAGGAGCATCTCAAATCACAATTACAGATGATGTGCTCCAATGCTGCTCCCTACAACGTAATGATGCTATCAATAGATGCAAGTCGTTTGCTCCTAGAAGAATTGTGATGCTACCAAAAACAAACTTCAGTTTTTCCAGACTTACTGATAATTATAAGACAACAAGATTTGGACATTTTAAATGTTTTAATGAAATATTTTGTCCCGCACCCATCGATGAAAAGTTATTACTCTAAACTCCCAGAATTCTGAATAAATTTAATGCGAATTTGAAAAATTCTAGGTAGAATTACAAATGCTATGGTCAACTGTCGCACTGTGGAGGAATGTCCTAGATTCTTCGCTAGGAAAGTTCTTTCTTTTTATCAATTCTATATGAATATCCAAGCCATTTCTTTAACACAGTAGGCTACAGGCAGAGTACAATACTCTCATTCTCATCATCATTCCCATTCTGAGGACTGGGATATAGGTTAATTCCCAATATCCCATCCCCAATGGTCGAGAAAATATTCTGGCAGTATTGTGAGGATGCAAGATGTCAGGCCACAACCCTGAGGGTTGAAGTGACAGAAGAATAGCACAAGTTTTCATTAGGCATCTCTCACCTCTTCAGCCAAATGATCAAAGCCATTGGCATATAATTCACAAACTTGTTGCCTGCGTAACACATCTCCATCAATTCCCCACACGTCAGCCAGCAAATGGCACTTGCTCATCCACTGATTGGCCTGTCTTGCATCCAAACCTGCTCCCTGAAAGAAAGAAAGAAAAAACACATTCATGAGGTATAAATTGGCTGGAACATGTTTGTGTTTTACAAGCTTCTTTAAATTAATTTCTTCTCGGGGGATGGACAAGATTCAATTCTTGTTACTAAGGCAAAATTAAATTGGTCTTACTAGCTGATTTTAGATACATCAAATTAATAGTATGTTTTAGAATGTGTGCATATTATTCATTACACATTCAACTGGTACTGACCATTTTATGCAGCAGTCTGTATTTGATGCTGGGTCTAGCCCAACTCTTCATTAATAATTAAACGTAATCAAAAATTGAAGGTCCAAATATCAAGAACTAATTCATTTTATGATAACTGTTTTATGATATATGTTTATTAATAGTTATATTGGTTTTTTAGGTTGTGTACAACTTACGCTGTCCTGATTAAGACCACAACTATGAGTAGAAACATTGACAACAATTTTATGAGAAAATTTGTGTATGTAGCAAAGTAATTTTAATTGTCAACTTTCAACTGTACACATAACAATAATTTTGTATTTTTCTATAATGCCTGCTGAATAAAATGCTCGATATCAAATAAATGTAAAATACATCAAATTAACTGAACATTTAAAGAATTCAATCAAATTAATGTTTTCATCAAATGCAACTAATCAAAACAATGTCACATTGTTAAATGCTTTTTAAATTATATAACAATTAATAAAGAGAGATAAGCACAAATTTGAAAATTTCTTCTTCTTCTTATATACACATAATATACTTAATTTCATTACATGAATTGCTGAAAATACTGCAATTATATATTTTAAGGCCATCTTACCGGGCAATCTACCCCACGCACAGTTTGCACAGCAGCTCTCACCACACGTAATAAAAACTGAGAACGAGAACTCTTCAGCTTTGCTCCAGGGTTGTGACCAGGCAATTGGGGATTCGAAGTGAGATCAGCAAAAAATGCAGCCTGGGCCTACAATAAAATGCAAACAATGCTATACATGTGTATCATGGACTTCCAATGAAAAGGTATTAAGTCCAAAATAATAGAACTGAAAGAGATGCTGTAGCGAGCGGATTTATTGTAGAGAAGATTTTGTTGATAATGGGCTTAAATATTTCTAAAGGTTTTATCATTGAGGAACTGAAAGAATGGACACTGTTCATTTTCCATGTATGTAGGAAATAATTTCTTTCTCTTATAACAGCCATTATAACAATATGTTTAGACTGAATACATTTCCCTTGTATATTTGCGATTTGAAATGCAAAGAAAAAGGAAAAAAATGTATACACAACATTTCTAATAGCAATTTTCTATTATCTCAATACAATTCTCTCTTTAAAGGAATTGCTGGATGATGAAGCAGCACTCCTTCACAATATCAGAATTCCTTATCTTCCATCAAAGAAGTTAGAGAACAATAAAAGAGACCCATGAACAGCATGAAAATTATCTTTTAGTCTTTTCTACCGAAGGTGCACTATTTAGCACTAATTTATTATGCTAAATAAGTTCTTAACCCAGAGAAGGGCTTGAACGTACCTTAAATACCAGGGGAGATAGAGTGCAAGCAAATAAACATGGGAAAAAATGAAACAATAGCATACTGTCACGCATAAAAAAAGGGCCCTATATTTATTATACCTAACTTTCAATAAATTCTCCCTCATTTTAATTTTTTTAAAAATTACAATGTAGAAAGTTCTTTATACTTTTTTTGTGTGTCTAAACTTATCTATTTCTGTATTCATAAGTGAAAAGAACACTTTGTACCCCTTTTTAAAGCATATTGTATGCATTGAGGAGTGTGGGATTTGGCAAGTTTATGTGTTTCAGTTTCTGGGCACATTGGAATCTTTTTCTTTCTGTTTCTGGGCACATTGGAAATTAGTAATAGCATGAATACATTAGTAATATATATTTGATGTTAACATTCTTATTTTAATTCATGACTATTATATTAGAGTAATCATAATCATATCATATTTTCTGTAAGTCTCCACAATTATCATATTTTAAAATATTAATCTATTTTCATATTTTAAAAGTTCACAGAGTCATGGAAATGATAAGATCAAATGTCTCAACCAAAAGTTAATTTTCTAGACTACTAATTTGATAATCATTTTAGGAGGATGGTCCAAGATGTATTTTGACTGTTTAAAAATAAATCTTGGACCATTCTCCTAAAATATAGTATTTCTCCTACACAAGAAAATAACATGTACTTACCACACCATCAAATAGAGCTGAGAGGGGCCGTGTGATCTTTACGCTAAAGGATGCCATCATATGCAAGGCCATAGCCAGCTGGCAATGCAAGTGCAGCAGGGGAGCACTCACAGGGGGTTGAGCAAGAGCCATTTCCGCCAGGGGTCTTGGACCCCCACTCTCACAGTCCCACAGCTCTTCATAGCGTAACACGCTAAGGGAGCGTCCCTCACCACTTGCCACTGTGGCCTAAGTACAAAAAAAAAAAAAAAGGAATACTAAAGCCTCCTGAGAATTTTATTTTTTATATTTAGTATGTATTTCTAAAAACTCTCATTCATAATCAAACCACAAATTATGTTATTGACTAGAAAATTGTGATAATGAGAAAGTTAATTATTTTTGCCTTGCTATCATTATTTTCTTCTTTTTCCTACCATAATCATCATCATCATTATTGTCTTTGTCACAACTATCTTTGTATTCACTTGTAATATTATTGCTTTCTAATATCTTTAAAACTGATCAAATTCAACAGATCATCGGTTTTAGTTTTCTGCATTTCTTTATTTGGATAATCATCAGATAATTATAAATTATAATCTTTGGTTAATTTATAATATAATATTAAGATTTCATCATTTCAGTATAATTTTTTTAATTCCTGCTCTCCTCCCTTGCCTTCTTGCATTTTAGATTCCCCTGAAAGCTTTGTGCATTGAATTTTCATTCTCTATCTTTCATCTGACACTGCCAACAGACATTCCCTTCTGTGACATTAAATTTTTTCTTGTTGTACTGACATTTGAACTGCTTCAAATAACAATTAACTTGAACATTGTATCAAATAATGTGTTTGTGTTGTGAGCAGCAACTTCTGAAGATCCCCTTACCTCAACAAAATCTCAGACATGATTTATATGTCAATTAAAATTTATCAACACTTAATGATTTACGAGATGGGAGGCTTATCCAATTGGGTATTTCAATATTTGAAACACCTAGTGTTGAGAAATTTTGATCAGATAATATATGACTTTCATTTTCACATTGCATTTCACTTACATCAGGACCATTTTTTTAGATGCTCATCATACTTTCCCATTCAAAATAATCCTCTGTATTGCCTGGCATACCTGGAGTGAATGTCAAGGAAACGTCCGCTAATATAATTAGGTAATATAGATATTACTTTTACTATAATAGTTATTACTTGCACATGTATTTTGAACTCCAGAATAGCTACCCGCTCTCTTTTACCAAAAATTTCGAATAAAATACAGCAACGAGCACTGGTGACAACGTTAAAACAATACATTTTTAGTCCAGCGTAATATGAACTCTTTGCACCCAAAAATTAATTTGATTTGAATTGATTTGATAACACCCTAGTTTCATTTCTCCCTCCAGTGACCAAAAACCCTCAGAATAAAAAAAAAATATCTTGACTGTCCAGATACCCCATTACAGCTTCCTTAACTGCTTCATCGCCATTAAATTGTTCCCCCGCAGAAATTTTTTCACGATTCGAAAGAGAAAGTAGTCACTGGGAGCCAGATCTGGACTATACGGGATGTTTAAATTGTTCAAAGCCACAGTCCTTCACAGTAGCCTGAGATTTGCGTGACTTGTCGGGGAGCAACTACACACCAGCAGACAACTACCCGTGGCGTTTGACAGACTCATGTAAAGCCGTTATAGTCGAAAAAAAATGTCTCCAGTAATGGTTGTCTTGTGTGGCATGAATTGTACAAGCAAAACGCCTTCTGCGTCCCAAAAAACTGTGGCCACGATCTTTTCGGCTGACTTCTGCACACGCTTGTGCTTCCATTGCTTGTACTCTTGTTGGATTCAGGATCACGACAGTGGACTCATCCCCTGTAATAATTCCAATTACAAATTCCAATAATTTCCTGTAATAATTCCAATAATTCAATTACAAATTCTATTTGCAACATTGCAGGCGAAATGCTTCCTGCTCAAGAGTGAATATGCGTGGCACCCAGCACGAACTGTCCTTTGAAATCAATTCTGTGTAGATGATACTATGAACCATGCCAGATGAAATTCACATGCTTCATGAGCTATAATACTGTCTATTACACGACGTTCTTCTAACACCATGATCTCCACTTTTCGGCACATGCCCCTTCAAGATGCTTTAAGAAGCCGCCCTGGACAAGAATGATCTTCAATCGATTCTCTTCCCCCACTTCAATTGCTTGGACCAAAATTATACTTTATAGAGAGTACGAAGACGCATCATCAGCATACACAACACTCATCCTCTCGTGGATATCTTTTGGCTGCTTCCCTTCCTTTGTGAGGAATTTTATCACTGAACTGTTCGAAAACTGTAATTTTCTCTGTTGACCTGCACGGCACTGCACTTGCCACCTTCTCTCATCAAGAGCTTACGGCAGACTGATTGGTAACTGAAGCCGAACCATTCTAAGACATGTCCCAACCTGCATGTGCACGTTCAGCTCTCGAACAATGTCGTAAAATACCGAGGTAGATAACTTATTGAACGTTCCCCGTATTATCACCATAGCAGCTTATTGTTGCGTCAGCGTTTGGATTACTCGATAAGGCAGGCAATGAAAATGTATTGATGCCAACAGACTATGCTTAATTTGTGAATGTGAAGCAATAAAGCATTTTATGAATAAGGTACGTGGAAAAATAAAAGTCATTTTAAAGTTCGGGAAAATACGTACATCTGAACTAGAATCTACAATGAAAGAGTTCAGTAGGTTAATTTGTAGGCATATACATGAATCATTGGTTCACATATTGTATTATACGCGCCAGTTTCCTTGAGCCCTGGGACTCTTACCTCCATTCCTTTACCAACATTAGTTGAATTAAAAATAAAAGACAAGTACTGTGCAGAATATGAAAACCAAAAGTTTTCGCTCACGTGTAATTAAAACAATTTTGTATCGAAAAACGAGCTAAAGATTTGATATTTAGATATGTTGTCGAAATAACCAATCCCCTCACTCCTCTCCCATCTAGCGAAATGAAGATTGAGCAAGAAAACGTGCGCGGATAATCCCATATTTTGGCAAATATACAGCCACAAAGACGCAGTTCTTTTTTAATTATCTATAAAACTGGCGTGTCTTAAAGAAAAACCGTATAAGGTTTACGTCGGTGCTAAATTTCTGAGAAGTCAACTAATGATATGGCTACTTGTTAAGTAGATTTTGTTTCCGAAAATGAAGGAAATGAATAATTGATAGTACGGCTATGATACACTGAACCTAACGCAACTTCGGGAAAGGATGCTTAATCCAGAGAGATAAGAAAAAGTTCATTACAACATGAATCCGTAAAATCTTAATTCCAGAGTTATCAGAGTGTTGTGTTCATTTAGCACAAGCAATGTAAGTGACCCAGTGGCGTCGCGTAGTAGGGGCGGCACTTTTCGGGGACGGAAAAATTCAACAATAATATCTTGTAAACGTTTGAATCATTTCATATTTTTGTCGCACCTATGATTCGGACCCATTGAAATGAGCACAGAATGTCATTGATTATTCTATGACGACTTTAAATTAATATATAATAATGACATCTTTCTTATTGTAGTGAGTGGCAACACCGTCTGCACCGACTTGTAGGGATTCCCCGTATTTTATTTTGCGCTTGTATTGTTTATGACATGTTCAGCGATATTTTCTATCACAAAAATAATGTTCTATATTGTAGTATAATATCACATGCAAATTAGATTACATTACGGATAAGTTTCTTCAGGGAAGTCCGTGAGTCCATTAAGGCTTACCAATCTGGCTATCTTGTCTATTGAGCAAGAGGTATGTGATGGTATTAAATAGTGATAGCGCAATAAAAGACTTTTCTCTTAAAAATATAGACGAATAACGTTTTAGCACACGTTTCGTTTTTATTCTAACAATTGTATTATTTTTCAATAAAAATATAAATAGTAACAGTATTGTTCTAGTTCTAATTCAAAGTCAATTTGTGTTTTATATTCAATTCTCTAATATTTTAATCTTGACGATCGTTAAGATGTAATCATAAGCAGAGATTTTGAAGACCCAAGACAGTGCCAAAAATGACCAATAAAATGTTCTAAAAGCAAAGATAACTGATGTAAAAAAATTATCAAAACCAGTGCAGATGAACAACTCAAGCTGTTGGATATGATAACTAACGTAATCGAGGTTTCTTACTTTCATTCAAGTGAACTCAGCTTGAAAACTTGTGGTTTGCACTGTTCTTTGCTGGGAAATCTTTGTCTTTAGTTATCGCGAAATTGGACGAACCGACAATGGTGCAGATGGGTGTCATAGAAATATTACATAGCATACAATGGCTGACATTACAATTTCCGAGCAAAGAAATCGACCAGGCTATTCAGGAATTATGTGGAGAACATTTATTGCATGTCGTAAATATTATTTGAAGTTCCATTAATCATTAAAATCGATAAAGGCAACGAAAAAAGTTTTAAAATGACGGGAAATGGTAACAAATGTATTATGACTTCTAGGCTGTCCGGGTGACGCCGCGTCGTTGGCAGATAGGCCCAGACTGCCAACGACGCGGCGTCACCCGGACAACCAAGAAGTCATGAACTCGAGCCGCGGAAGCCTACGTGTACAACAAATGTAGTAGTCAAAATCGAAGAAAAACGCAAAACAAAGGTTCTATAAAAATGAATCGTTTGCTATTGTCATAACGTACAATTAATGTCTATGGTAAAACGCATTGTTCAAAAGTGAAAAGAAAAGAAAAGACAATTCAATAATCCGTCTCCTATTTATAATCTCTACATCTGTTATATCAATTTGTAGCATACTGGTACGTGTAAGAATTTTTGCAATAAATCTGATTGTATTGTAAACCATATATACATGACTTCATTTGTAACCTGCACAATATACAATAATGATTGTTTTTGCCGAAATGTTTTTTTTATAATTACTGTATATTTTAGTCTTTTAAATTAAAATACCTAAATAAGGGGGGAACCCTCCCCCCGGCGGCTGAGACCCACGCTAAGCCACTGAAGTGTCTTTGTCTCAGATCAGGCATCTCCTCTTCGGATTTAGTGTTGAGCGTGTTCAAAAATGCCAGAAGTAGCTTATAGTACTGTCTTGACAGGATTCTACAATGCGTGCACGGAGAGTTCCATCATACACATCAATCGCTTATATTATACACCAAAGACGTAAGTACCTTATCTCACGATGTATGGTGGGGTTACGAAACTC